GAGGAAAATTTTCGGGCTAAAGGGCCGAAGCTCGTTGCGTCTTACGCCCCTAAGCCCTGTCGATCTTTCGTTTTTGGTCCGAAGCCGTACACTCAACACCCTTTCGATTTTGAATTAGCTCCAAGCACGACGATCTTTGGAGCAGTCTAGAGGCCACGGCATAAGAGAGAGCTTACGTGTTTCGCTGCTCTTCAAGGGCTATCTTTAGTCTTCAAGCTGCTGTGGTCGCTGGCTGCTTCTGGCTGCCGCTTCATGCGCTCCTACGGCAAGCCCCACTGAGCCGTTTCATCGCTTGGTCTTGCAGTTGTGGTAGCCTTGCAACCTGGCTCCTCGAGTGTCTCGACGTTCGAAGCGGTTGCTTCAACAAGCTTTTCACCTTCATGTCACGCACATGTTGCTTTGGTGACGCGTCTTAGCTGGCACTGCACAGTTCAGACCACGAGGCAGACCTCGGTTGCGGTTTGAGGTGCGTCGCCGAGCTTTTTGCTGCAGCTTTCGATAAAGCGGACTCGCAATAGTCGTGTTTTTCACGATTTTTCTTGGTTTGTTGGTGCAAACTCCATCTACATGTGTTTGCATAGTTTTTGCGCTTAATCTTGATCCGCATGTGAGATTTTCGGTATGATTTGTTTGGGTTTCTTGCTTTTGCATGATGCTTGGTTTGATTTGTTGCAAATCACCGCAGCCATTTTCGTCGGTGACGAAGCTGGCGCTTGCTGTGACTTGAGCGCAACTGTGAAAGCCGAAACCGAGGGGACACTGCTCGCAGGCGCGAAGGTCCAATCGTCCAGCAGTGCTCTGGTTCAAATTCGAGAAAAGTAGGCTTCACAGATGGCAGAAGGAAGCAAGAAACGTTCCGGCAGCCCTGCGACGCAGTCAGAGGACCTTGTCAGTGAGAGTTTCCTGGAACTTTAGCTGCGATGGGCTTCCCCCGCTTTGTGCAGGAATCTGCGTCTAAGGCAGCAAGGATCTAGGACAAACCTGAAGAGAAGGCGCGGCTGGCTGTGAGAGTAAGAGTGCTTTTGAGATCGGTCCGTGTCTTGCAGGCTTACCTAGGCATGGCTTCTGACCCGGGCAAAAACGCCGAGAAGGCAGGGAAGCTCTACGTGGCTGTTGGTTTGAGATTTTCGTGCAGACTGAGGAAGCATCAGACAAATACAATGCGAAGCCTTTTCTGGGCTTGAAGGTTTGCTTGGGATCCGTCCGTGCCCACAGGCGGCTGCTGACCTGGCCGAAGACGACGAAAAGGCTGAAGTGCCTTCAGGGAGGGGGAGCTTGTGCTGCTGTCGGTTTGAGCTTCGCAGACCTGGCTTCTGCAGGCGGAACAAGCTTCAGATGAGGCCGCCTGTTCGTGCAAGCCGGTCAACTGAATCCTTGCGCTTGGTTTCGCTTTCGCGCAGGCTTCCACGAAGCAAGCTCGAACCAAGAAGAATGTCGAGACGGCTGAAGTGCGCGGTTTGCTTTCCTTGTTAGTTGTGGGCGCATTGGTGTCAGCGTTTACAGGACGTGAAAGGTTTCAACAAGCAGAAGGTGCCGCAGTGCCTCACCGTTCGCCCTATGTTGGTCGCTTTGCTTTGTCCCTTGCAGTGCCTTGCAGGTCGCGCAGTGGGTGGAAGCCAAGCTCAAAGAGAACGGGATCGATGAGAAGGATGCAAAAGACATTGCGCAGAAGTTCGAAGCACAGTCCGTGCCTGGCCCAGTGCTGCATGTTGGCATGCTGAGCATCTCCAAAGTGTGCTGTAAGGTGACTGGCCGAGTGCTCCTCAGGATGAACGAAGAAAAACTCGTGTCGGGCTAGAACATCAAGCGTGGTCCCGCCGACGAGCTCTCGCAAATTATCCCAAATCTGAACTCTGCGAACTCTGCGAACTCTGCGAACGCACCGACGGCCCCGAACGCCCCGAACACCCTCCAGGCCAGGGCAGCAGGGCAGGGCTGCAGAGCTGAGCTGGCCTTGCCTACTCTCTGTTGGCACATCCAGGGGGCGTTTAAAGGCATCTTTGGGCCTCGGATGGGAGGTCACGGGCAGGGCTTGCTCTGAACCCAGGAGGTCACAGCAGGCTCGAGGCGAGAGTCGGCGAGAGGTCACAGGTCGCTGGGTACTTTTTTGCCGGTTAGCTTTGTTGCCGTGTTGCTGGGAGGTGTTTTTAAGAGGGCTGGGAGATTTGCGCCGGGTGTTTTCTTTGTTCAATTGTGTGAGGGGTCTTCTCTGCCCTGTTCTGGGGAGGTCGTCGAAAGAAGGCAGGTTTAGGCCTGAGGCTGGGTTCGTTTCTCTCTCATCTATGGCTTGGGTTTCTCTTCTTGCCTAGGGGTCCTGCCGGTGGCCGGAAGGATTTTTGTATGTTCTGCGTCTCGTCTCTTCTTTGCACTTACGCTGAGTCCAGTTTCAGACATATGCCGAGGTGTCAGAGCAGACAGAGGTCTTGCAAAGGTTGAAGGCAATCGAGACTATGTTGAAGCCGACTCCTGCGAGTCAAACCCCCACTACCGCGGCAAAAGCCCGGCGCCAGGACTGACTGCTTTGTGGTCTACGGGGCTGTTGGTAGGTTTCTGTGGGCTTGATGCGACGCTCGCTAGTTTGTGAGGACGCGGATGTGCGGAAGTTCGAGGGAAAGGAAGGCGGAGTGGTCTTGAGCAAGCCAGTCAGAAATCAGCTGAAACGTGCCAAAGATTTTCGTCGGGTGAACGAGATAATGGAGCCCTGGCTCCAGAAAATGGTGCCACAGCATTTCTTGGTAAATTGTGAAGACATCAACTGGGGGCCAGGTCTTGGTCAACCAGATTTTTTTGCCACTCGTTGTTACGTAGCAGTGTCTCCGAAGCAGAAGCGAAAGGGATCCCACTATGGACGGCCAGCGCTCATGGATTCAGTCACAGCCCTCTTTGACGGCAAGCTCGATATACAAATCAGCCATGAAGACCGTCTTCATGCGCTTTTGAGTCACACAAGTGCCAGCTTTGGCCTGCTGTATGACAAGAAAGGTTTTCGACTGCTGATCGCGCATGGAGAGCGGGGTACGTCTAAACAGCTGATGGAAATATGGAGTGGCGTCTGGGAGCAGGGAGGCACGCTGCAATTTTTGGCTGAGAAGTTTGCAGAGCCTGCCCATGAGCGCCGTTTGGGCGCTTGCCTTGCAGACTGCGGGGCTACGATGTTGGGTTTCTTGGGACAGGGTGGCTTTGGAAGAGTCTTCAAGGTCAAACGCAAAAATGCTCATTATGCTATGAAGGTGGCTACTGATCATAGCCGGCTCGAAACGGAAGTCGCGAGGCTTCAAGGAGCAAGAGCTCAAGGTCTCCCTGTGATCAATCCAGAGGCTGCAGAGCAACTGACTGCGGGTGCGGGATCATATTATTTGATGAGGCCTGTGGGTGAGCCGGTGATGTGGTATGATTGCCAAATCAGCAAGATCTTTGAGGCTCTCCACAAGCTTCACAAAAAAGGCCTCGTACATGGAGACGCCCGCATCCAGAACATCATCAAATCGCAAGGAAAGTTCCTCTGGGTAGATTTTGTGGACACGCCTTTTCCCACGGAGCCCGGAAAGATTCAAGATATTGCGAGCTTGTGCAGGAGTCTGGGGGTTAATCTAGAGCACTGGCAAGGAGAGGCCTCCCTGACCAGCAAAGAATTTATTTCGTGGGCTGAAGCACAGAGGGATGAGGAGGCAAAAACCCGAGCCCCAAAGCGATCTCGGAGGAAGTGATATGTCAGTTTCACAGCACGGTCGGCTTTTGCGGAATGCAAAGGATTTTTTATGCTATCAACTTCTTTTGCACTTTTCCCTGGCCTGCAGAAGCCAAACTGCAACTTGCGCTGTCATTCACCTGCATGCTTGTCTTGGGTAATCCTGTCGGAGGTCACTGCCACGCACTTCGACCTCGCTGCGTGCACGGCCCTCGAATGGCCATTCGTGTGTTGTGGGCGCGTTTTTGACACCTGCCTATCCTGCCAGCTAGCCGGGACTAATGGAATAAGAGAAGCCGTTCGCGAAAGAGGACCAAGAGGCGTGCCGTTGCGAGAGCCTGAGCAGGGTGGAGGTTAGAGCACACAACGCCAGCGACTGCAGTCGAGGCCGAGAACGTGCCTCGAAGCCGAGTTCTTCCGCGGCGTCCTTGAAAGACCTCGCCTTGCAGTTGTCGAGCTCTTCGACTCTAGACTCGACCCTGGTGTGCCGGATTGCCCGATGAGAGGTGCGGATCCGACGCTTTTCGTAGCAGCAATGACTTGCGCGGCATCGGCCCAAATTCCTGGATGGAGGCAAAAAAGGCGGGACAACTACCAGAGACTTGAAAAGTATGGAGCGGAGTTGCAACTCTCTACAAACCCGAAGCCCGTGGGGAGGCTGGCGGACCAAGCTAGGGCAGGAGATCCACTGCATCTTCTGTGTGAACGCCGGGGGCCCGTGGTGCTCTGCATTTCGTCCTGAGCGGAGAGGCCCCTTGAGCGTTGAGCCGGAGATTTCCTGGAGCCTCCGAAGCATTTCTGAGCCGATCTTACTCCGGGTCTGGATTGTGGGTGCAAAGCTGACTGTTCCTTGCAGACGGGAGACTTCGAAGGCCTGGTGTTCGAGCGCTTGGGCATGAGCCTCCGCGACTTCCTGAAGAGGACGACACGCTTTGGCAGTGCTTGTGGCGACAATCATTCCATCGCAAAGATTCTTCGGCGATCCGTGTCGTCAGCTTTCTGCTTGCGGCGCCATGCAGCGCAGAACATCTCTCTATAAAACTCACTGAGTAACTTAGTCGAACTACTCTTAGCATCAGCCATCATCGACGGTGCTTGAGCCGAAGGAACAGCAGCTGTGGGCTGTTTGTGGAGGACACCCTTGATGCTGGAGCATCTCCATGTACTCTTCCTGACGACGTGTTCACCGATCATATGATATTCAAACCATGCCTCTGTACATGTTCCATCATGTTCTGATGCCTTCCCGCCGGCTGGGAGTGTCAAGGTGCAATCAAAGTGATTGAAAACAAGAACTCGGCGTTTTCAGCCCGGCCTCCGCTGGAATCGCCCAGCAGCTCCAGGGCTTGGCGGGCCTGCACACCGCAGAGCGGAGAGCGGAGAGCGGCGAGCGGAGAGCGGAGAGCGGCGAGCGGAGAGCGGGTGGGATGCCTTTGGATTGGCGTCTCTCGAAGGGGACCTGCCAACACTTCGCATGTCAGTTTGGCTCAGCTGACGGCGTGTTGGAATGTCTCCGTTTTGTATCACAGTGTGACCTTGCACAACATTCTGGTTCTCATGCAACAGCTTCAACCAGCAGGGCATTCCTGTTGCACAGGCAGGCTTATCAAGCTAAGAAAGTCCAGACGTGGTGCGACGTGCGAGCGGTCGAAATGAAGAGCGCTCTAGACTTGGAGTGGACCTCAGGGGCCGTTGCTCCCCCTGCTGTTCTAATGGTGCTACTGGTAGTGAATGATGTACTTATGTTAGCTGATGTTAAGGCTCAAGCTGGTTCGACTCCCGAAACTTCTGGAAGATCATGAAGTTGCTCCCAACCTTCGCGTTTAATGCCATCGCTCGCATGTATCCTATCACCAACACAGATGTGCAAGGTGCCTGGCTGTATACCTTGGGAGTGACCCCTACGAGACAACCAGGTGTGCTTCAAAAACTGCTTGGCGGGTTTGCATTTTGGATCATTTGTTACACATGGCATCGCGCGCAACGAAGTTTGTGGCTTCAGTGGGACCTGCCTGGAGAGCCTGGGCAGGCGGTGAGTTTTCAGAGGGCTCGCTCTGGAGATGTCCAAGTTGCACTGAACAGTCTAGCCGTTCTTCTTCCTTCCATCTTCTGTTTCTCTTGCTACGCCTTCAGTACGACCCTGCTCCGGCACGTCGTGAACCCGGTCTTCACACCAAAGACACGCTTGAAGCACGTCTTGCTGACCGCTTTGATGTTTGCCATGGCCTTTTCCCTCAATGTTCTGATGACTTCCAACTGGGTGGTCTGGTCGGTGGCCGTCTTTACATATGCCAGCTGGGCATTTTGCGGTCGCACTGTACCGACTGAGATGACCAATTTCCCTTGGAATGGAACACTCACAAAGCTAAGGAGTGCCAAGGAATCTGGGGAACTCGGTATTCTCACTCGTCGTGCCGACATCCAGGTTGAGAGTACTTGGATGGGCGATGAGTCTATTTTGGTGGAGAGATATGGTGACCAATGGGTGTGCAAGGCTTACTGCGGCCGGGCCAATATCTTCCGGCCTGATGTTTTTCTCGTGCTCTGCACAGCACTTGTTTGGCGCATCCCTTGGTTCATCCTTGGAACCGGGAACTACAATCAGTGCGTAGGATGGGCGGAGCTCTGTATGATCTTCTACATCCCCTTTGGCTACCCTGCCCTAGCAACCTTTGGATTCCGTCTCGCTTTGGCAAATGGCTCGACGATTTGTGCCATGCTGTTGATTGTAGCCTGGCCTCTTTTGAATCTATGTCTGGGAGGAAAAGGCTGCAGCACCCTAACAGATCTGGTGCTTGGCGACTATTTGCCAGAGATTTGGAGCCCCACCGCAAGAAACATCACCTTCAATCGAGGCTATGAGGCCTGTTCTGTGCAGGCCTATGAGGAAGGGGGCGAGGCGTTGCTTGTTGCTAGCACAACAGTGGCAGCATGGGTGCACATCATGTCCAACTACTCGTTCTTGTTTGGTTTTGGCTTGGGATTGTACAGA